GTACTTTACTGTTTTCTCGTGGAAATGAACGGAAAAAGGTTATAAGCGAAAAACGTGAATTTACGTAAAAATTATACAATTAACCAGCCTGTAAATAACCTTTCCCCCATTTTTATGACTATGGAAACTAATGTAAGCGATATCAGTTGGGGACACCCGGTATAGAGACCAATGGAGCTGCGTTGATGGATTGAATGGTGAGGCATCAGTTTATTTAGGATTAAATAGTTTACATTTACGATGTAGAAGTCCGGCATTCATATAGTTCGCTCTCGAGTCTCAAATGCTCTACGTGACTGTGCATTATTATTTTCTCACAATATACTGTTTTACATTTCACCTTCACCTTAGGTAGTTTTTGTTTTCTTCTTTGAAAGAGTTTACATTAATATGTTATTGTACATAATATTTAGCATCTATAGTGATAAATTCAGCTTGCCGAAACAAAAAGTCGCGAAATGGTCATTTCGCAGCTTATTTTCCTGGCCTATTATCCTAGTCAAAACGAATTGAGGGAATGCCAGAAATTTATGTCTAAATTATCATCGCACTTTTAGGTATCTAATTTTAATCTTTATTTATACAGAGTGGCCATTAGCGTGAGAAAATAAAATAACTCCTTGTTATTCATAATACAGAAAAAAGTGTATATAAAAGTTGTACAGAATCAAGAAACTTAAACTACAAAATTAATTTGAAACATTTGATGAGTAAAAACGGGATACGCCAAATATTACATTTTTTAAATGGAACACCCTGTATATTTTTAAACCTATGGATTTCTGAGAAAATTCTACATATGGCAATATAAACAGTTTAACACTTTATTGCGGGGTTATGTACGTTATGTAAAAAATTCTTCGAATTTTGGAAAAAACATGACCTCGAAGAACTTTGAACTACTAACACTTGGAACAAAATAATTAGACAGAGTTATAGGTAAATATTAGACAAAGGCTAATATCGATATTTTATGCAGGGCATTTTTTATAATACGATCATTTTTAGAAAATTCAAACAAGATTTTCTAAAATTTTTCAAACGGAACACCCTGTATTTTATTGTTCTATTTTATTCAAATATCGGTTCACTTCAACTTTTATTAAGCATCTTCTGTACTTAAAATTGTTAGATTTTAAAATATAGCAACATTTCTGAAAAAACTTAATTTTTATTATAAATATATAGGGTGTTCCATTTAAAAAATGTAATATTTGGCGTGTCCCGGTTTTAGTCATCGCCCTGTATATTTCAAATTAATTTCGTCGTTTACGTTTATTGATTGTGTACAACTTTTATATAAACTTTTTTCTTTTTTCTTTTATTATGAGTAACAAGGGAGTTATTTTACTTTCTCACACTAATGGCCCACCCTGTATGTTTTATTTAGTGTACAAGTTTTATTTATTTATTACCTACTCATTATGATATTTTGCCACATATAGTTTAGCAAGCTAACTCAAAAGTCATTTTGTGTTACCCATGTGGACTCGTTCAATAAAAAATTGTGTTGGCTTTAAATGAAAATCTACTCAAATTCAACTCTGGAATAGCTCTGGTATCTTTGGAAATCATTTTAAGAAGTTGACATATATTTTTTCTTATTTTTTTTTGCTTAGAATCATTCTTCCAAATGGCGAAATCAACGCTATCCATAATAGATATTAAAATTTCTCAAGGGACAAGGAATTTTTAAATATGAATTTTGTATTGTCGAAACCACAGGCATACTTTTACAAATGTTATAGGGTGGTTAAGATGATGGGGATCCCAAAAAATAACATCCAGTGTATCACTTTCTGGACCAACTATGAAGTCTAAACCTTTTAAGGTTACTTGAAAAAATTGTTTTTGGAGTACAATTTGAACACCCCGTATTTCGAAAATCTAAAAAAATTATGGCGATTTTATAGCGAGTCTAGTGACTCAATTTTAAAAGTAATGAGATGAAGAGACCAATTTAATCACTAAACTAGGAGCAAATTGCAAGAAGCTGATGAGAAAATAATTACATTTTCCTTTGGCTGTCAGAAAAAGTTAGTGAACTCAAACATTCCAGGTCAAATTGCCTACTTTAATCGACTTTACTGTCATTCAGGGTTCTTTTAAAAGTGAAATGTCACTAGAAAATGTCTTTGCCTATGGAACATGAATTTAAAAAAGGTTCACGTGAAATGTATTCAGCAGCGCAATGATTTTTTTAAGTCTCTATATTCTTCAAGTTGCCCGTATTTCATCTTCTTTAAGAAACTGATTTGTCAAACATTTCGCCATTAGATTGTGTACTAACGTCGATGGATGCAAAATCCAAAATGGCTATGATTGTCATGTACTCTTACTTTTTATTAAATGTTGCTCCTCCCAATATGGAGATCATTGTTAATATTTCAAGTGCCAGGATATTCTTTTCTGCCCACAGATATAGAACGCTTAAGAGAATTGAAAACGTTTTGAAAAATGAAGCAACTATCTGACAACGTACGTGAATATTTAGGAATTATGCAAAGACTGTTTGGTTATGGATTAGAAGTCATGTGTTGAATAGTCTTTAAAACCTGTAGAACATGGTATCTCAAATTCTCTCAGTCAAAACGATACATATGTAATTCAAACACAGGTGTGTCCAAATCCATCTCATAGAAAGAAAAGGAAGCTTAACCGTTTTTCTCTGGGTAAGTATTATTGCAAAGAGAGGCATTGACATTTAAACCTTAAGAAGATGGCTGATGTGAAAAGTTTATTAAACAAGCATTTGAAGACGATTGATAATCGAAGAAAGATCTGGTAGTACTAATAGTAGTAGAACTACATTCAGAGGCAGAAGGTACCCAAGATGTATTTTGCGAATTAAGAATACCAGAAGAAGATATGTGATTAATAATTTCAATTTATTAGTATTTACTTAAAAAGAAATAGTGTTTCTACTTCCTTTGAAACAGTAGTTTTAACCAACACTAAACGCAGTTTCAAAAATGCATTGACATTTAAATAAATGAAACTGAGTTGTTCCCTTGAATATATTATACTGGACAAATTTCACTTGAGCCTTAGAATGCTCTAATTAAAAAAAATACACTTAGTGCAGAATGAGACGGAAGTGCAGGCAGTTTCCAATTCCACCACTTTACCACTGCGCATCCTACCCTCAGGGCTCAAATAAATTTAGTTTACTTATACATGATTTTCTTGTTGCTGTTATTTTATTCATACGGGAATTTTTCTTCAACCCCCTAACCCCCAGCTACCCCTACTTTCTTTTTTCAAATGGAAACATAAGGCATGAGGGGGCTCGTTGAAAAGCTTATAGAAAACCGGATCCAGCCATACCAATTAAACAAGTTTTATTTTTTCATTAGCATGGTTTTTCAGGTTGTATAAAACACCTACTTAACAAGTGAAATAAAATTTAATTATCTCCATGAATTTGCACAGAATAAAATAAAGAATTTGAAACTGTACCTATCACTGCTAACGCAAAAAAGATATATTTTTTATGTTGCGTATTTTTGGCACCACTTACTTGCCAGGCTTTCTGGTTAATTTTTCGCTTTAGTAGTAAATTGGAGTTCAGAACGTTACTATTGTGTCAAAATCAAGTTATTTACTGAATTGCAATGGTATTGTCGGAAAGGCAACGCATCGAAATCTTGATATTGCTTGGATGTGGAGACAAAATAAGAAGTCCAGCTGAAGTGCGCGATTTATTTAATGCGAAATATCCCGAAAACCAAATCTCGCAAGGGACAGTTAGTAAAATATTTCACAAATTTGAGGAACACGGTACAGTACAGGCTTTGCCCAAAACTGGACGGGCACGTGCTTTGAATGAAGAAAAGAAATTAGACATTGCATTAGAACTTGTTGAAAATCCTCATACTTCAACTGTTTCATTGGCCCGCAATCACGATGCTTCTCGAACTGCAATTCGAATGTTTCTGAAACAAGAGAAATACCACCCCTATAAGGTATGTCTTGTCCAAGAGCTTTTGGAAGACGATTATGATAGGCGATTACAATTTTGTGAGGAAATGATGAGACGGTGTGACGACAATAATGGTTTTCAACGAGACGTACTTTTTTCGGATGAAGCTACGTTTTATTTAAATGGAGTGGTTAACAGGCACAACTATCGCTTTTGGTCCCAGGAAAATCCACACTGGACATGCGAATCGCATACGCAGCATCCACAAAAAGTTAATGTATGGGCAGGTATCATCAACAACAGAATCTTGGGCCCATTCATTTTTGAAGAAAATCTTATCTAATAAATCTGATACCTGCTCTAGCTGTGATTTTCTCTCATAAAATTGATCCAGATATACCGAATGAAAGAATTTGGTTCCAATAAGATGGCGCTCCCCCACATTTTGGTATTGATGTTCGAAGATACTTAGATGAAATGTTTCCAAATCGCTGGATTGGTAGACGGGATACACTTGAATGGCCGCCAAGATCCCTCGACTTAACACCCCTGGAATATTTTCTTTGGGGATATTTGAAAGAAAGAGTCTACCATGACAGACCGGATAATATTGAGAATTTAAAGAACAAGATTAGTTCGGAGATGCATAATTTACTAGCTGAAGTCATTCAGAATGCTGTGGACAGCTTTTACTATCGTCTTGAAGAATGCCAAATAGTGAATGGAGGACATTATCAGCATTTGCGACATTGAGTTTATTTTTGTAAATTATCTAGTTGTTTCAATTTCTACATGAAAAAAAAACTTGTTATTGAAAAAATAAAACTTGTTTATTTGGTATGGCTGGATTCGGTTTTCTATAAGATTTTCAACGAGCCCCCTCATGCCTTATGTTTCCATTTGAAAAAAAAAGTATGGGTATCTGGGGGTTAGGGGGTTGAAGAAAAATTAATTATTATATAACCGAAAGATGTGAAAACAATCAAAATCAGTTAACGTGTTTCGGCGTTTTTAAAAAAATTAACTCATTCAAGAGATATGAATTTTATTCCGTACTTCTGGCCATCCCTGTATATGTTTACAATGGATAAGTTTTGGGTCTAACTGACTAAAGGCTGTTTGGTTAATGGATAATGGGTATGATACAGGCGTCACACGGTCGTGAAAGAAAGATTATTCTCGCATATACCTTGAAATATAATAAATTTCCAAGCTGTTGCCTTCATTACTTTTCGAGATATTCAACAAACAAGTGAGGAAATTAATCCCGGAAACCACAATTTAGATCTCTTTGGGAATATTAAATACACAATTTTATTGTTAATTATTGTTAATATTGTGAGTTACAAACCACGACCGACATTAAATTATCCAGCAATATCTAGTAAACACTAGGATCATTTGTCGATCCAATCCACCAGACATATACCGGTTTGGACACAATAGTCTTCCACAGTAGGTGAGATAACCGACGAATGGTCCAACTATTTTTGATCTTTACACGAGACTTAACACAGTTCTACATCTATGAATAGTGACCACTCATAAATATAACCACTGTCTTATATCTCGCGTATATTCTAGATGGTATTGCACCTACCTGTCCCGCACCAGCCCCGTTGCCATTTCTGGAATCGTATCCCTTATACCTATTCTCCGCATCGCTATTATCAGAACTGTAGTGGTTAGTATCTTCGTTATAAATGTTAGTCTTGGTAGCCGTCGGCACGACCACTATTTCAGTCGATCTGCATATGCCGCTGTCGGTCGATGATTCCACGAGATTTTTACTCTTAAGAGACATGGTGTTCGCCGATTCTTCTTGGTTGTGCATCTGTTCAAACCCGTAGGACTTTCTTCTGTTATACCAGTCCTCGTTTTTGATATTAGTAGTGTTATTAACTAATTTTCCTCTAGACTCAAGGCTACCAGTACCTAGTCCTGGTTTTTTGTTTAGTAAGGCTTCCATTCCGTACACGTAGGAACGTACTCGGGACTGGCTGGGCGATTTCTCGATCACAGGCATTTCTGTAGGGTTAGTGGCGACTTCCTCGGTGACTATTCCATCATCGGGATCCACCTCTTTAGGGTTGAGACGGTATATATCGCTTGTAGGTGAACTGGTCCGCCTCAGTCTTCCCTTAACTTCTTTTATGGACTCTACAGTTACAAAAGAATTTCGCTTCTGTTTCCTGGACGCCTGTTCTGCTTCTATATCGTCGGTGTTATCAGACGCCTTGTCCGAATGTATGCTACTGGAGCTCGATATCGACTGTAAGATTTGATCTAAGGCTTCGAGATCGACGCTGTTGTTCCGTAGAGCGGTGTTAAGGCGCCTGCCCTTTTCGAGATCTTCGCGAATCTTCCTCACACTCACACTATTCTCGGGCAAGTCTACCGGCTTGCTGCTCGACGTCTTGTTCTGTTTCGGAAACTGTAGAGATCGGCGGATCTTCGACGTCCTCCTCCAGTTCTGGAGCTGCTCGAGATCTTCCAAGTCCTCGACACTCTTCGTGGCCGTGTCCTTCTCGGGCACCACGTGGATGTCGTCACTGCTAGTACTTTTCGTTCGCGAGAGATTAGAGTGTCCGTTGAGGGACTTCGTTTCGCTCGAAGACGCACTCTCGATTTCGTATATTTCGACACTGCCGTCGCCGTTCTCACGGTCGCTTATCGCCGGTCTCGGGGAAGACCGCTTCCCGAAAGCCTGCCTTACGGCGGTCTCGTGGATCTGGTGGCATAGGCGCGTCACCCGGTGCAGATTGGTCGCCGCCGTGAGGTGGGGGTCCCTGAGCGGGTTGGTCGGTTCGTTAGGCGGTTCACGCGGTCGCTGACGGGTGGGGGGCCGCCTACTCGCGCTGCGCCCCACGGAGGCCTTGGACTTTTGCGAGCTTAGGTCTAAAGGGTTGAGGGAGAGCTGAAAACAAGAAAATATATGTTATAAATAAAAAATCAGTCTATACAAGTAAGTTGCTTTACAGTCATGAACCGTGTTTTTTATATCTTGATAGCGGAGAGAATCATTTCATTGTTTTTTGTGCAGTTTATATTGGATCAACGCGTTGAGACACGCTTGGTAGCCGAGTAACGATAAGACCAGTGATAATTGATCTCTAGGACTGAGGCGCAGGACATAGGTGTACGCATTATTTATTAAAAAGCAACAACCTAAGTTGTCTACAATACACCACCATAAACACCAACGGAGAGGAATTAAATATGCAACATCCATACGATAACAAAGCAACAGTATAGTAACGTGACGTGAACGAACGTGAAAAGCATTCTGAGGTAGCGGCTCACATATGTCTCGGTTGATCCATTTGGCACGTCATTGAATTGCGGCTCTCTCTGACAGCCCTATTAATCCGTCTATTTTCTTGCTTAATTAGTGAAATACTTATTAGGGCCACCTTGTGCGACTAAAAAAGTAAAATACTTGTACTTATAACATAATAATATTTGTTCTTGACGAATTATGGGATGAAGTGGCTGTTTGGTTAAATACAAGTGGAAATTTTAGTGTTTATTTATATAAGTAGTACTTATTTAAGGACAGGCTGCCGTCTTTCATCACTTTCTGTTAGCGCTTCGGACGTTTGAACCTATGTTGGGCGCCATGTCGTCTTTCACTATCATTATTATTCCCGGGATTACTTCTAATATGGGGAAAGTCGGTATTTTTATCGAGCTCTTCGTGTATTGCTTACGGTGCTGCGAATCTCGACTTCCCTTTACCAGAGGTATAGAGAGTTGGCCTCTCTGGATTGTAGGCGCGTAGAACAAGTGATGGAATTGCAGTCCGACATGTACTGTGATTTTGTATTGCGGTTCCCCAGTTACAATCTCGCATTTTTTTGGAGAAATTTTTTATGTTACCAAACTGTGGTGATTTTAGCTTTGTAGCGCATCGTTGGTGGTTGCTCTGCCGATAACATCGGCTTCTGGCGGTATCGTCTACTGCGGTTCTGGTGTTTGGGGCGGCTGGAAGGTTCTTTGAGTAATTCGGCGGAAATTTTGGAAGCAGTCAAAAATGTTATTTTTCGCGCTGCGCTTTTTTCTTGTGGAGTGTAGTGTTGGGTCTCCACGGATATGAATCTCTATTTTGACCGAGATTGGCCTTGCGTATATACAACAAACTTGATTTAAAAAAAGGTAAAAAATTGCGAATTTACAGATTTTCACTAAACTTTAGATAACTTTACAAATAATGAATAGACTTAGGATATTTTCAGTTTTTTTTTTACCCCTAAGTAATCTAAGAAACCCTCAAGAGTTCAAACAGCTGCGATTTTTCTTTCATTGTGATTCGAATTATTAAAATTGCCGTTTTTGCTAAAAATCAATAAATTGATAAAATTTGCTACAAGCTTTTATTTAACTTGCCTTGTTAGTATGGGTCAAATCTTGCAAATTAATTTTAAAACAGTTATCCTCAACTGATTGAGCTGAAATTTTGTATACACGTTTAGTTTGGATGACAATGCATGGTTAGGCTAAGTGACGTCATTCTAAATTCACTATGGCCTATGGCGGACTCCCAAAGATGGCGGACCAGTTATTTTTTATCCACCCCCATGATACGGGTATGAAATTAAAGGGTTTTCTGAGAAGAATATGAAAATAAAATGACGTCATTAAAGATTTGTTTTTAATTTTTTTTATACTTACATGAATTTATTTTATATTGAAAATGTTTGCAAAAACACATTTTTATTTCATATGAAATTGTTAAATATCAAAAAAAAGAAATAATGAAACAATTATTTCGAAAAATAATTGTTTGTTCTTTATTTTTCAAGTATGAACGTTTCAGTAGAAACATAATTTAACTTCAATGATGCCATATGTCTGATTCGTTGGAGCTTCCCACCATTTGACATTTGAATTTCGTTCTCTTTAGTGATGAAGTATATGATTTTAATAATCTTGCGCCAACCGCTGCTTGCGAATCAATCAATGTTGCCTAGTTGGTTCAGTGACTACGGCTCCTCAAACCGGTGGGAAGTTGACGTAAAAATTAAATTTTAATATCTTGTTTAATTAACTAAAACATTATGTAATGAATTATAATTACGTTCGAATCGAAATATTGCCTCCATTGTGTATACGCTTCTAATGGTTATATTAAATAAGTAGGCGGCCAATTAAATTTTACATTGACATGAAAATTACCTCACGGTTCACTTGGAACGTTAAAAATATGAATATTATGTGAATTTGCTGGCATATGTAAGTAAAATATGAGTACATGCAGTGAAATCGTCTAGTTGTGTTATTTTGATACGGAAAATTTGTACGTAGAGAAAAGAGTACACAATTTCTTTAATTTTTATGATGTTACACATTGTGCTTAAAACTGGTTCATCATAATACGTTGCCTTTGCAAACAACTATTTCCTTTGTAATTCTACAGTACGTTCTTTAACGTAATATCTGTAATTCAAGTATAATTTAATGGCCGATGAGTACTGAACTGGTACGTGTTCTGTGTGTTTATTGATAATCACTACCCTATAAAAATAAATTACAATCATCGTTAGCAATTGTTTACGTTCTGATATAAGACTGGCGCGGAAGAACTCGTACAGGCACCCACAACGTTTGTTCAATCTAAGTCCAATCTAAAGTCCTATGAAGGGAATTTAGTTCAGTCAAAGCACCAACGCCATTTGCCGCCGATTATTGCTTCATAACGTCGTCGCGATGGAGGCACTCGCGTTTATATTTCACGCATTTGACAGTTTGTTGTTACTTTCGTGTCTGCCAAGAACATGAATGTGTTCCATAAGTTCCTAGTTACAAATAAATAAAAACCTTCGAGCATACTTACAAGGTGAAGACAGAGATAGCTGCTATGAAGGTACATGCTATCTTTCTTTCACCGAACGAGATTGGCTCATCCCCTCTCTGACTACGTGACAGGAACAGCCAACCTCACAATCAACAAGGGAGAGATAGCATGTACCTTCATATCAGCTATCTCCCTCAGCGACATTTTAGAATAGGTATAACTTTTTTAAGGTTATGTTTTTTGCATTATGTTATTAAGAGCAAATTTAAAATTAGAAATCAAACAAGCTCATTCTGAGTATATTAAAAACACTGAACACAATTTAAGTAGGAAACAATTTTTGGAATTTTGTAAAGTCAAATCGAAAAAATAGAAACTCTGATCTTCAATTTAATATTAATAATCAGCATATAACTGACAAAAAAATTATTTCTGATGCTTTTGCTGAATATTTTATTTCATTCATATCATATTACAGCATACCTATAACAACGAATGCAGGAAACCTAACCTAAAAAAAAGTTAAAAAAGGAGGTAGGATAACAAGCTCTACAAGATAGTTGGAAACTAGCAATACTTGGTATCATTGAAAACTTAATGATAAAGGGTAAAAAAATGATCTTTGAGATCTTGTATTGAAGAAAAATAAAAGACAATAACTCATCCTCTCTAACCATCAGTCTCTGAAATTATAGTATCTCTTTTTTAACATCAATATACAGGGTGTTTAGAAGCGAACGGGCCATACTACATACGACAAAAAAAAATTTAATCCATTTTTTGAGATAACTAAAAATATATTTTAACAAAATTCAAGGTCACTAAGAACAGATTTGGTTCTCTGTCAAATTTTTATTTGTGGAGATTTAGGGATACGCAAATGTCTTTATAGACTTCATTTACTTTCAAAAATGATATACTTCTAAAACTGTACCATTCCACAGAAAAATGAATTTCAATTTTTTATAGTAGTCATAAGTTACTGACAGCCCAGGTATTTGGGACATTCTACTCTATTTAAAGTAAATTTTTTGCTAAATCTGCAATAATACTTTTTACGATTTAGTCCACTTAGTCAAATGTGAGAGACTACGCCTTCTGGGATCTAGGTTCTCTTATTTTGTACCCTAGGTTCAAAAGCCTACGTCTCAGTAGGCTCCGACTTTTTAATATGGTCTAAATTAATTGTAAAAAAAAATATACAGCTAAATTAAAAGCTGTAAATTTAGCCAAAGGGTAAAGTTTAATTATGTTAAAAGGATAAATATTCCACTGATGCCTGTAGTAAAAATTTTAAATAAACTTTTCTCTGGAAGGGTGCAATTTAGCGGCATGCAACAGATATATATTCTTTGCAGTAAATAAAATGAGGCTTCTTAAAATAGCTCGTTTTCTCAAAATCTCTGCAACAACAAAATAAAAACCGAAGATTGTTTAAGGTATATTTTACCGTCCTCTATGTTTTAGGTAAAAAATTAGCTCATTTGGGCTATCCCAGAAAATTCTTCACATCAAATTTCATTGAAATATTTTTAAAGGTGATAAAATAATTTTACACAATTTTTTTTTGAAAACCGATAAACTTTTAAGGTAACGCTGAGGTAATTTGATCTATATCAATTTATTATTTATTTATTATTCTTGTGGTATGGCCCATTCGCTTTCCGACACCCCGTACATGGCTAAAACATGTGTGCGAAAAACATTCAAATAACATCGAGCAAACTCAGTTGCACATTTCGAACATAATTTTTAACATAAACTTTGACTGACTCCGAAGAACGCGATCTGGAAGCAAAATCTTCCGATCCGAACCCACAGATGTTGCAACGCCGTGTGCAACACGTGACACAATCACAAAATTACAGCTAATTGTGAACGGCTCACCTGCAAATTCTCGAAGTCCTTACTGCCGATTCCATCACCGATCGCCGCCTTGTTGGTCCACCTGCTGCTGGACACCGTGTGCGTCTTGATGACCTGCAGATGGCCCCCGGGTATCTGGCTCTGGAACACCTCGAGCTGCCTGCGCGCCTGCTGTTGCAGAGCCCCGTCCGCGTCGGTGCGGGCTCGCAAGTCCACTACCTGAAACGTAAACGGCGACGTGAGCTAGCAGGAGGACGTGGTGGTTACTCATCGCGTGATGTCTTCCAGTGTGCACCGGAGTGTGGGCGGCGGCGGCCCGTGCGGGTGAAAAGTTCAGGGATTTGGCTTGAAAGGTTATCAATAATGTCAACAATAGATATTTCAGGGAGAGGAAGAGTGATTTTCAGAATTTTAATAAGCATCCTGTATATTTCGTAAAACTGTACCTGTTGAATTTATCTTTGATCACTTCTACCTTTCCCGACACATGGAAAACTTCAATAGTTTGTTCTATTCATAAAAAGGCAATAAAAACTTTACCAAGAACTAGAACTGGACACTATTATACGCAACTTTGCCAAGGTCTTACAATGTATTGTAATAATAATTATTTTCCCGACATAATTTATAGTATTGTTCATTGAAAAATTGCTTCAGTTCAACATGGTTTCGAGAAAGGTAGATCCACAATAACTAATCTTCTATGCTTGCTCAGCGACTGTATGTTGCATTAGATACCGGCAATCAGATTCACGTCATCTGTATAGTGATTTCAGTAAGGAATTTGATAGATTTCACGGTATTCTGCTTAAACACTGGATATGATTGGTGTGTTTCTGAACGTTTATAGTTCCTTGAAGACCGTGATTTCAAGTCAGTGGAATATGTTGCTGCATATGGTGTCCCACAGGCTTCTTACCTCAGACCTTTACTGTTTCACATTTTTATAAATGATATACCTAGTTAACTACATTGCCAGCAAATGCCTTCTGAGCTATTTTCAAAAATTTTATCCTCCTCAAGGTGCAGTTATATCGAAAACTCCATTTGACAAAGTTAATATGCTAGCCAAACGTCCCAAATCCTTGCGATTCAGTATCAGAAGCTCGCGTCTTTTTGATGTCTCGCGCGTATTTATTTTTTTATATTATGCGCTGCTTATCCATACATTGTAAAAAAATTCACTCAAATTTCACTCAATTTTATTCAATAATGTAGATATCAATTTCTGTACACACCCGGTTGAGTGAAATTTTCACTCTATTAGTATGAGTACCTACAACTGAGTAAACTATTGTATCAGAAATGAGTCCAATCCGAGTTATTGCTATCAATTGAGCGACTTTTGACTTTATTCTGAGTATATACAGGGTGGCCAAATGAAAACGAAACAGAGCCATTTTCAGGAACTGCGTCAAGATTGTAGAAAAATGCTCAGACCCGTCGATTTTAGATTAAAG